CATACCACACACAAAGTCACTTCTAAATGGGTCATAGACTTAAATGAACTTCTTAGGAAAAAATAGAAGTGAGTATTACTGACCTTGGGTTAGGCAATGGCTTCTTATATATGACACCAAAAGAACATGAAAAGAGAAAAAAATAGATAAATTGGACTTTGTCAAAATTAAAAACTTTTGTTCTTTAAAGGACAGCATCAAGAAAGTGAGAAGACATTGCACAGAATGGGAGAAAATATTTGCAAACCACATACCCAAGAAAGGACTGGTTTCTACAATACATGAAAAACTCTCCAACTCAGTAATAAAAGGGCCAGTAATCCAGTGAAAATGTCCGAAGGATCTGAGTAGAAGTCTCAGAATGGACATGCGGATGCCGAATGAGCACAGGAAGGGCGTGTCTGCCCCCCAAGGGAAGCTGAAGACGCCAGCGTGGCCAGCGCCCACCCGGGTCCTCTGCTGGTGCTGGGTGCAAAGGGGAGATGGTCCGCAGTTCCTCTGAGGGGTAAGCGCGGAATCGCCGTATAACCAGCAACTTCTCCCCGAGGCATGAGCCCCAAAGAAATGAGAGCACGTGGCCACAGCAGCTTCCCCCAGTGCTCATGGCAACGCCCTGCAGTCTCCCGAAAGTGCAGACGGCCCGGCCGGCAGCGGCTGGCCAGCGGGTCTGTGCAGCGGGGTCCCGGTCGGCCTTGGGGGGCACAGAGCCCGCTGTCTGCTGCGGCGCGCGCCGACCGGGCAGACGCCGCAAGGGAAGAAGCCTGTCGCGGGAAGAAAGGCCACGGGGTGCGTGGTGCCATCTGTGTGGGAGGTGAGACGAGGCTGCCTTCTCGGGACAGGTGCAGCTCAGTGTCCCTGCCCGCCACGCACGATTTCTCGAGAGGCCGCCTCACCCCCCGCAGGCCTTCTCGCCAAGGGCCCCTCCGGCCTCAGGAGGTCGGCAGGCATCGGCAGCAGGGAGGACAGCCGTCCACCCCCGGTCACGGCCCTCAGCCCGACGGAAATGGGTTTCCAGTGGAGCTGGCCGCCATTCAGAGGCTTTCGTGTCATGTTAGCTTTACACTGAAATTTTAAGGAAAAAACCCTCTCTATGCCATGTTTCTCCATAAAACTTTTCTGTTTGTTTGGTATAGGAAAGCCATGGCAGAGAAGTACATCATGACAGCTGCGAAACTCATCGCCCCCGCCATCGAAACATCCTTCGCCGTGGGTTATGACTGGTGAGAAGCGCAGTGTACCTGACTGCGTGCTGTTTTCCTTTCATAGTTTATATTTCGTGGATTTAACATTGCGTTAGAAGAGTGAATAAACAATCGCGAATACTGATTTCTACTGATCAAGCAAGTAGTAGCGTATGGTAAGATTAACATAGACCAGAGTGAAATGTTTACTATTTTAAAATATAATTACCAGGCCATTCTAACATTTTTCTCACTGCTCTCGGCACGTGGGTGCAGTGCTGAGGTGAGGGGCTCCTGTTGGACTTGCAGGTTGGCGATCGCTCCGCTGTGCAGACTGCAGCCCGCGCCGCCTCCATTTTACGTTGCTTTCCTCATTCTCTGCTTTTCTACCTCAAGCGTGTCGCCAGCACTGCACTTTCTGTCCTGAGCGATAGCCCTGGAAGGGGCTACCGTCCCCTGATGCAGCGGACCTCCTAGGTGGGAGTGAAGAGCTGTATCCGACCCGGAAAAACCTTTGTTTGTCGAATTCGTTTCTTACGTCACCCAGCACAGTAATGTCCTGTATAGCATCCTGCTCTCTGCTTGGATTCTCCTGGCGTTCAGTCCCTTTGCTTTCTTTTGGGACATCTTTAAGGGTTAGAACATTCTTTATACTGAACCCAAATTGGCCCCTCATGAGACTCTCTCGTATGGTCTTTCTAGAAAACAGAGGGAGTCTGTGACCTCTTCTACGTGGTACTTTGCCAGAATTTTAAGACCCCAAGATACGTGTGCGTGGTTAGAAAATCAAGTACAGAAGAATTACGGGCCTAGTTTCCTTCCTTCCTTCCTTCCTTCCGTCCGTCCGTCCGTCCGTCCGTCCGTCCTTCCTTCCTTCCTTCCTTCCTTCCTTCCATCCTTCCTTCCTTCAAATATTCATCATAAACAAAATTACTTATATATGATTACTGAAAGCTGTTCATTTCTTCTTTGGCACTAGAAAGAAGATTCTGGGTTGGCCTCCCTTCCTCCTTCATACATGATTTGCAAATATATTCTCTTATTCCGTAGGTTGTCTTTTCATTTTGTCGATTGTTTCTTCTCTCGTGCAGAAGCTTTTTAGTTTGATGTAGTCCCACTTGTTTGGCTTTTATTTGGCTCCTTATGCTTTAGGTGTCATATCCAAGAAATCACTGCCAAGACCAATGTCAAGGATCTTGTTTTCTGTTTTTTCCTGGGACTCTTATGGTTTTCATGTCTGATTTTGAGTTTTCTCTATTCTCTTCTTAGATAATCTAGCTAAATATTTGTTTATTTTGTCTTTTCATAAAACAGCTCTTAGTTTTGTTGATCTTTTCAGTTGTTTTCCTAGTCTCAGTTTTATTTATTTCCGCTCTGGTCTTCGTTACTTTTTTTCTGTTCTTTTTTTCTGCTATCTTTGAGCTTAGTATCTTTTTTTTTTTTAGTTCCTTGAGGTTTAAATTTAGGTCATTTTCTTATGTTTTTTCATTAGTGTAGGTATTTATTACTATAAATGTCCCTCTTGGAACTGCTTTTGCTGCATCCCATAAGTTTTGGTATGTTTTGTTTTCATTTTATTTGTTTCAAGATTTTTTAAAAATTTCCCTATTGATTTCCTCTTTACCCATTGGTTGTTCAGGGGGGTGATTTTTAATTTCTACATATTTGTGAATTTTTCAGTTTTCCTCTTGTTACTGGTTTATAGTTTCATACCATTATGGTCAGAAAAGATACTTGGCATGATTCCAGTCTCCTTACATTTGCTGAGGTTTGTTTTGTGACCTAACACATGATCTGCCCTGGAGAATGTTTTGTGCGTGCTTGAGAATGCGTATTCTGCTGCCGTTGGGCAAAATGCTCTGTATGTGTCTGTTAGGTCGGTTTGGTCTAAGGTTTGGTTTTCTGTTTGTGTAATCAATTTATTGTTGAAAGTGTAGTATTGAAATTCCCTGCTACTGTTGTATTGTCCATTTCTCCCTTCAGATTTGCTTACTCTACTTTGCTGTGATATTGACAACATATATGTATAGTTGCGATTGTTAAATCTTCCTGATGAATAGAACTTTCGTTGTTCTATAATGACCTTCTTTGTTTTTTGTTGCTGTTTTTGACCTAAAGTCTGTTTTGCCTGATATAAGTATAGCTCCCTTAGCTCTCTTGGTTTTTCCATTTACGTGCAATATCTTTTTCCATTCCAGCCTATGTGTGTCCTTAAGGCTGAAGTGAATCTCTTATAGGCAGAATATACTTGGGACTTGTTTTTCAATCCATTCAGGCACCCTGCTTATTGATTGGAGAATTTAATCCGTTTACAATTAAGTACGTTTTTATAGACCAGGATACTGATAGGTAATTATTTCTTAGTAATTCTCGACAGGCACTCACGCCATGTTATTGTTTTGTGGCTGTTTTGCAGTTCCCTTGTTCCTTCTTCGTCCTTCCTCTTTTGCTGTCTTTCTTTGTGAATTGATGATTTTCCATAGTGGTATTGTTTGCTTCTCTTCTGTCTATCTTCCGTGTATCTTTTCTGTAAGTTTTTGCTTACATAAAAATTCTTAAAAGTCTATTTTAAGCTAATAATAACTTAACTTTAATTGATACAAAAAGTATACCCTTTTCCACACCCCATAATTTTGTTTTTGATATCATAGTTTACCTCTTTTTATATTGTGTATCCATTAATGAGTTATTGTAGCTATAGTTATTTTTAATACTTTTGTCTTTTACCTTTATACTCGAATTAAGTGATTGACATACCACCATATTACAATATTAGAGTATTCTGATTTGACTACGTAGTTACTTTCTCCAACATATTTTGTATTTTCATGTTTTCATGTCACTAATTAGCATCCTTTCACTCCATCCTGAAGAGCTCCCTTCAGCATCCCTCATAAGGCGGGGCTAGTGGAGACAAGTCTCCCCAGTTCGTTGGCGTATCCACCCTTCATTTCTGAGAGGCAGCTTTGCCAGGCGAAGTATTCTCGGTTTGAGTTTTTCCTTTAGCCCCTTGAACACGTCACACACTCTCTCCTGGGACAAAAGGCTTCTGTTAGG